CATCAGATATACCGGGCAGGACAACCTGAGAGAGCGGGAAGGAGGTACGCTTGGGCCAAAGGAAACACAAACATGCAGGTGGAACAGGAAATTCATCGTTAAAAAAGCTCTAGCACCCCGAAAGCAGAGAGATGGCAAACACTGCTCCATCGGGGTAAGATGTGCTACCAGGAGAGAGGTAGAGCTTATTTTTAGGGCCCCGCTTCAGGCTTCGGTATGTAAGTATCCACCAATATGTTCCCCAAAGAAATGCGGTTTTACAGTCGTTCCCTGAGTAAGATGAAAGGCTGGGTATTTTGTGGCTGTGGCGTGACTGTTACTACACGCTGCCCTTAGCCGCTCCAGTGACAGCCGGCTTCAGCAGCAGAGTGGAATTTATAACAGGACAGAGCAATTGCTAGACAGATTCTAACCAGAGGCCTTGCAGCATCTATCGCACTTTCATTTAAGACCCAGACGCTTCCCTATATTTAAACTCGTGGTGCTGAGACCCCATCAGCCAGAGGGGCGGGAGGGTGAGACTGGACGCGAGTGACTGCCATTTCCTACCAACACAAATTCTTGCTCTGCAGACCCAAGCATGTTGCAGAGCAAGCAAACAAAACCACCACCCCCCTGGACAGCTTATTTTAGCTTCCCACCCACCGCCCTTCTCCCAGCCCTCGTGACAGCCTGCGAGCCGCCAGGCAGCCACCAGACTTCCTGCTCGCCGGCCCTCCAAGGGGAAAAAACAGTCTGGAGGAAAGAAAAGTAACTTTGTGGGAAGCGCCCAGCCCCCTCCAAAACAAACAGAGCATGTCCTCAAGAGGCCCCGTAAGCAGCAAGATGGAAAACACGATGGCATCTCAGAGCTGGGAGGATCAAACAAGATAGCTCTCCCCCAAGGGAAAGTCTGCTGCATCTCCCCGACCACACTCCCCTCGCCATTTTTAGCCTCTGCCCAAAGGTTTCCTGGGGACATACGCATTTCTGGGTTGATGCTTTTGGTACCCCACTGGAAGTGATTCCCTGCACCCCCTCAGCTTTGGGGCTGAAAGAAGGGGTTAACACCAATTGCACTTAATGAACTGGACAGTGACGGGGAGCACCAGAACTTGGCACCTGGACTGTTGTTTGCACAGCTCCTGGTCCGGTTTTAACCAAGCCCCGACCAACCATTCCTAGGTATGGTCTGGTAACCTGTGCTGGCCGGGGACCAACCCACTTTGGATGTGGCACTGTTTTGGCTGGCAGTGCGATATGTAGAGGCAGGCTGTGCTGTGCTGGCTGGTCCGCGTGGCAGGCAGCAGCATGCACACACTGAGCCCACAGACATGCGGCTGGTTCCCCACCAGACCTCGCTCTCCCCCAGGAGAAGGCAGCAGCAGAGGCTCACAGCATCTGCTTGAACATGGTCATCAGTAGACAACCTCATGACTGCAGTCACCATGTATCCTCTGAAGAGTCAAGATTCACATGTGAACACCTATGTGCTGCTGAAGTCAGCGTGGGGTTTAATCTACTGCCACAGTCACCCAGCATCACCTGTAGATGGTCAGCGTCATGTAAGAAGGTGCCCCAGTCTTCACCACCAGCACCCTGTTCCCCCACTGCTCTGCTGGGGTTTGGTGCAGCTGCTGCAACCTTTCCTCCCAGGGGTGGCTGTGGGGGTGAAAAGCGGCACGGACTCCGGCAGGCACGGCAACCAAAGACCTTTATTGCTCTTTGTTAGCATCTTTTATAGCAAGCAGAAGTGTACACGCGCTACCTGCAGCTTGCAGATAGGTTACAGCCTTGTGTTCACGCGCATCTATGCTCTAGCAGATTGGCCCGTTCTTCCTGATCATGCGAAATGCCTTCATGGTCTTTATCTTGTTTTTCTCCTTCCAGCTGCACATTCCTTTCTCCGTTATTTTCTGCTTAAGTGCCTTGTCATGCCAGGTGGTGCAGTGTTTGCTCATTAAAATCAAACTCAGGAATGTCCGTTAGTGAGATTCCCATTCCCACGGGTGGCAACGCTGGTTGGTGGGATACGCTGGCCTGCCACCAGCCTTCCAGGGAACATCAGACACCCTGTGCCCTCCCCAGAGAGTTGGGTGCCACCACACCAGAGCCATGAGTGTCACCGCCAGTGCCTGCAGGCCAGCAGTGAGGGAGGGTTGGGCCAGGTCTGAATGGCAGCTGGTGCTTTCCAGTAGCTCAGAGGAAGGAGAACTGAATAACTATGTTGTTTATATTAAAAAAACCAAAGATGGCTCTGTCAGTCAAAAGAGCCTGGGCTGGCCCCAAGACAAACTATTCAGTGAGAGGAAAAAACAAAAACTCAAAAAGCCTTTTCCAGGAATTTTCAAAATCTCCCTAACCTCATTCACCTGACCACGCCGAGGATGAAAACATCAGCCGGTCTCATGGCAGCCTCTTGAGGGCACTTTGGTATGGCAAGCGTAGACCAGAGCTGCACTGGGCAGTTGTGTCCCAGGTCCCTGTTGCCAGAGCAGAAAGCTCCACATGGAGGAGCGAGAGTATTTCAGCTGAACCACCGGACACAGTCAATGCCAGGAATTGTTTCTGGTATCTCTGGATTGCTTTCCTGGTGGGATAGACCTGCCAGGCAGGGAAATTGGACAAGAGACATTAAGGTCATTTTGAATCCCCCTTATTATTCCTGGCTGTTCCAGCAAGCCCAGAGATGTGAGAGGAACCTAGAGAAAAACTTGTTTTCCTGCAGATTTAGCCTTTGCTGAGCAAAACAGCCCGTGTGCTGATGCTACCAGAGCTGAGCAGTGTCGCATTCACTGCCTTGTTTCTGGAGCAGAAAGGGGAGGGATGATGCACCAGTTCCTTCTCCCTGTATCCTACACAGGTGTGAACGTGTTCAGTTAAACATGGCTAAGCCAAGCAGAAATCTCAAAACAGGTAGGACAGGTCCAGGAAATTTATGAAAATAAATGGTTTAAAGAAAAGCAGGCTGTGAACAGCCCGGCCATAGCACAGAGGAAACCAGCCAGAGCAGGTCCTCGATAGAGAAAAGCCCAGTGAGGGTCTCCAGAGGCTGCTGTGATTTACCTGGCAGCCTGGGTCTGACAAGGGCTGAGGAAATCCATGGAGAAGAGGAGTGGCAAGAACGGGCTGAGAAGCCGGGAGTAGGACCAAGCTGCTGAAAACACCCAGGGATGGAGTCTGGCCTGGACAGGGAAGCTGATGGCGAGGGGAGCACAGCAAGGGCCACATGGATGGGAGGGCTTGAGGGCTAAGTGTGTTCCGAAGGAAATCACCCCTGGCACAGGGCACAGGGAGGTGTCTGTGGCACAGGGAGGTGTCCGTGGCACAGGCAGCCCTACAACCTGAGCACCCGGACAGTGACTAATTGCCCTTTCTGGCCGTCACCCTTCTCCAGCACGCTCGCTCCCTGACGCTTCTTCTCTCAGCATCATGAGCATCAGACAAGGATGGGGGCACTGGAGGTGCCGGCATGTGGCTGCCCAGGGCCCCTCAAGCGAGCCGTGGTGCCTGTGACATGGGAATCGTGACACCGGGGCTTTGCAGTCTGCTTTGTTGCAATGAACCATCTGACGGAGGGAGTTTGCAGAGGAGGGCAGCACCTTTCACTGGGGGTAACATGCTGTGGGATCTAACAGATGCAGCAAATTTCGGTATAAATCAGAGAAACCCATTCTTTTAACAATGCCAGTTCATACTAAGTTTATAAGAGATGTGATCCAAATCCTGTTTCTCTCACATTTGTCAACACTGATACATTTTTTTCCCTCCTTTCTCCATGTCCGTGGTTCCTTTGGGCCCCTACCCCAGCTCCTGCTGGCTGCACAGCGCTGGGATGCCCGGCCTCAGTTCCTGCTGCAAGCACTCGCTTCCCTGCAGCACCAGACAAGTCAAGCACGCAGGACCTCTCCATGCTGATGCAAAAGAGCTGTACATCCCTCTCCCGTGGGGATGCTGCCGAGGTGAGACGCTGGACTGACACTTCTTGGCTGTGTTTGCAAAGCTGGCAGCGAGAGTGAACACTGCGTTTGGGTTTGGTTTTTTTTTCCTTCCTGTTTGCTAATCACGTTTGCTCTGGAGTCTTTAGGTTTCCTTCCTGTTCGCTAATCACGTTTGCTCTGGAGTCTTTAGGGATGTAAGGTCTTCAGGTAGCTCTGCTTAAAAAGAGAGCCACTTTCCTTTCTGCAAGGTTACGGTCTCTTTGGGGTGCAAAAATCCAACTGTCCGAAGCTATTTCTTACCACCGGCAGCGGAAGCACCCGTTGCATTTGGGCGCAGGTAGCGGTACCCAAAGTTCTGCCGGTAAACCAGGAGATTTGCAGCTGCGGGAGCAGCGGGTGCGGGTCCGCGCTGCGAGAAATGAGGATTTGTGCCCGGTGGATGGACACCGGCCAGAGCGGCTCT